CCATTAGGTCAAAGGACGCTGCTGCAGGTAAAATCTGCAAATGCATCATGGCAGAAAGTGATTTTCATCGCGAGTTTGCGTACAATCCAACACCTTCGTCAGTGGAGATAATTTTGATTTTGACTGTGTTCCCACAGACTCTAATGTATTTAATTCCGTAAATTCTGGTGGTACGTAATTCATATTGTAATAAAATATATGCATATTTTTTGTGATCATTTCTGTTTCTTCATTAAAAATCAATGACGACGCAACTCATTTCGTAATTTGATTTTCCCTCAAAGATGTAATCTGTCACATGATTAATCAACATTTTTATTTGCACTCTTTTTCGAGTTGAGCCCCTGGGCGCTAACACGGTCGAGTGCGGTTTTAATTTTTATTATCTACTTTGTCATTTTCCTGTGAAGTTTTGTTATTTTCGCGATTATTTACGAAAAATTTATGATTTTTGTAACCCTGACTCGATCGTGATAAGTTTTGTTATCATGTTTACCCATGGTTTGGATAAAAATGATACATTCACCGATCACGAGTTTGTTTTCTTGGATATGTTTTTGTGGATTTATCATGTGGAACGATTCTCCTATTTACCATACGAGAAAGTATGTCGTTCAGACACTTCACCGTAGTGAGACTGAGCATCACATCAGTTACATACAAATATGACTGAGATTATTAAAATATATTAATTCATATTTTATGCCAGACCTATTTATGTTTTATATTATTTATATTTAAGTAAGTACATGATATTTATTGTGGTGGTGTATTTTCATAGATTTTAAATTTTATATTTTTTCCTGTTCACTGTGGCTGATTTTATGAATTTAAGTTTGTAGTGTTAGTAATATGTAATAACTGGCTTACATTGCAAGGCATGCCTGGTTCTACTGCAAATGTTATAGTTATGCATGGCAATTTAAACCTGTAGTTGTGCTATTGCTTTAACTGTGCTCTTGCTGTCGCTCGCAAATGTTGTAAATTACAAAATTTGGACAAGATTTACAAACAAAATAAATATATATTAGTAGGATTTACGAACACATTTTGTACAAAATACCCTTTGCAAATCGCCCTCATTTAATTGTCAAAACTCCACTGTGATCACCACGCGTGTTACAGTTTGAGTGATTGCCATTTTAAAGTAAAACAATGCCCCGTTACTTCTAAGATTGCAACAATTGTTACACGGTGATCGCGATCAATACGGAACTACCATTGAATGTATTTTTCCACTCTAAAGTTATTTTGATGTTATCGCACATGCGTAGTTTAGTCGACATGAGTTTCAAGATACCCCGCGACATTACTCTCAGTATGGGACGGTTTCATGTCGCCCTGATCAAACACGTGATTTGTTTATTTATTGAAAATGGAGACTACGTCAAAAAAGAGCAGACGACTGCTCGACGAGTATTTTTCACGAGATGGAGAAACCGCTAAATCGTGTTCAGAACCAGAACCCCTGGGTGTCCTAACCCTGACAGCACCAAGAAACGGAAAGTTGATCGTACTGCAGCACGATTTCAGAGATAATGGAAGGTGAGACAATGTTAGCGAACCGATCGAAAAATACTATAATTTGTGTAACCTTCTTACCGGGCATTCTTAGCATTAAGATCGAGTTATAAGACCGAAAGTTACTTTTTCACTTTAATTCAGAAATTTAGATGAAAATAAATAGTCATTTTGTGTATACATAAACGTCAACATGCGGGTTTGCATGATGAGCACGAGAGATTACTTCGTAATAATATACAGCTTTTTGATTGGCCTAGAGTTTTTTTCTGTCGACTCTAAAATTTTATGTCCACTGGATAAATATTTTATAAGAAATGATAATAAACATAATTAGAGCTTAATTTTGTACTTACTAGTGCCAGTGATATTTATTCTTGAGCTTAAGTTATTATTTTGTTTATAATTGTTTTATGTGGTAATATTTATCAAATTTCTTATTTCTTTAGATTACTTTTCCATGGTTAGAGTATAATATGGATAATAAGGTAATGACCTGCCAGTGGTGCATTAAAAGTGGAAAGGTGAATTCATTCACCAGTGAATGTGCTTATCTGACTAAAGATTACTGCACAAAGCATTCCAGAATTGCTGACCACAAATATGCCAAAAATGACTTGTGTTCTAGGCAGTGAACTTAGTGAAGTTTTGTATGATGACTATTTTTCCCACTGTTAACAATGTGAGCTTATCATGAATATGTTTATTACTGAGTTATTCAAATAAAGGTTCTGGTGTCTACATTGCATATTTTATTGTGATGTTTTGTTATACAATCATAAATGGTACATTTTGTGGAGCAGACTGCCTAATTTGATGTCATGAAATTACACACAAAATTAGAGCTCAGGTTGCACCAGCAAGCACCATTTTCAGCAAGCTGCTTGTTTTCGGCGGACGGCAGAGGGGACACCTCCCCCTCGTTTTCTCTCCCCTGTTGCGCTCGGTCGTGGGAAAATGCTTCGCAGTTTCCAGACAAAATTTACTAAAACTTTTTTTTCTTGATTAGTAAATTTACTATTACCTAGCAAATTCCAGAGAGAGCCCAGTTTAAGATGTCTATATGTTTGTTATAT